GGTCCCTTCCGACCCTAGAAACTATGAAACTATGAACTTGTGTGGATTCAAGAATCAAGCTGGAAATTTCACAAGAATGAGCTGTCTGATAAGAGCTCCAGTATCTTTTCTTTTAATTCTTGTTGGGAGACATACCAAGTAAATGGCCTTTTTTCCCTCCATGGTATACCACTACTTCTGCTTCCAGGCAATACAAAGTACAAAGATAAGCAAAACTGAAAAAAAACTGCATTAGCTCTACTTTTACACATACACGTGTAGAAGCAACCAGATTAGCTTTCCCCACACCATCAGATAGGCTTATTTTGGGTTCAGTTTGATAAATAGAAGATACAGTTTTATCACACTCTCTGAATCACTTTTTCCATCCTTAGATAAAACCAGAATTTTAATGAATGTCCAAATATAGCTAGTTGGTTGCAGAGTCATATAATAAAAACTACGGATAAAACAAAAAAAATAAAACTTCCCATATTTTGTCATTTTTCCCCAATCCTCTCTACAACAGAGTTAACATTAACCAACCCTTTATTAATATACTTGTACTGTATTTCAGAAAAGGCAATTCAGAGCATATCATTTTATAATTTTAGGGAGCAAGCACATAATCATTATATGAGATTTGATTACAATTTTAAAATAATGTTTAACGTTGAAAGACAAACACTAAAAGACATGTAAAGCTACTTACCACGATAGATCCTGGTGTACAGCAATTGTTAATAAAAACAGCAAAAAGACAGCAGACAATTTTAAACAACTAAACATTTACAAGACTTAAACTTAACACACACATACATATGAGGAAATGAAATCTGAACTAGCCACAATGAAAAGCAGTTTCTTAAGGTAACAGCTATCACAGCAGTAAAGGAAGGTGAAAATATAAAAGTGACAAGCCTGAAGAAAAGAAACTAAGATTTACAGATTAACCAGTCTGGTTAAATTTGCAAATATGCCAGACTGGGTCAGACCACAGGCCCACCTATGCCAGTATCCTGTATCTCAGAGAAGCCAAGAGTGAATGTTAAGTATTTATGCAAGGCCCAGCCTGACTAATCTGTCACCAGCCCCTTTATATCCAGTTTCCAGTATTCAGAGGTCTTGGAAGTCCTAATTTGGAGTCTGCAGCCCTGTCAAGTTCAACAGCCACTGACGAACCTGTCCTGCATGAATTTATTCAGATCTTTACCATCAAAAAGAGCAGTGAACAGTTTTCACTCACAGTGGAAAAGACTATTAGGAAGTTTGAGTTCTAGTATACTTGAAGCTGCTTCTGTCCAAAGACTTCCAGCGCTGTGACTGGTTATGGAGGATGGAGGCATATCTGTGTCTCCAAAGTTTATACCTCACTCAAAAAAACAACTGTTAATAGGGCTTTACTATGCTCCTGCTTAGCCTGTAAAATTCATGGAAGAGTAGCCTATCCTCCCTTCCACATGTAGCTTTTGCTAAGATGTTTTCTTAATATGCCTGGAACCTTAGCCCAGTTGCTTGTCTACAGAACTCTCTGGAGTTAGCAACAGAAAATTACTCTCAGAACAATACACAACACAAGAAAAAGCTGTTTTCAACAGTCGATTTCTAGGACCTAGCAGTGTTCTCTCGAGTCCTAGGAAAACGGGCCTGCATCTCTTTTTCTCTCTTCTCACAGAACTGACATCAATTAGAACACACCAGTGGTGCAGAATTACTATATTTACCTGAATACCAGAAAACTTTGAATTTAAGACAACCCTCTCCTGCCCCTGCCCCCTTACCTGCATGTAAGACAAGGGGCTTCCCCCCTAACCCCGGCTGAATGGATTTGAGTAACTGTGGCACATTTCCAGGTAGTAAAAGTGGGATGCCATGTCCCACTCACTTCCATCTGTCCATGGAGGACTACTCACAGAATCAGAAATAAATCCTGAAGAGTATTCTGCTGAAACAACTCCAGCTGCCCCAGAGGGAACATTGGACATAGACTAATTCTCAGAAAGATTAAAACTGTACCTACTGCTATGGACACTTGGAAGGAACGGGGTCTGTAAAATCCAAAATGTAAGTTTATCATAAGATTATTGAACTAAATATTATTATTATTATTATTAACAACTATTATCATTATTCAGTTATACTAAAATTGTCTCTGGCATTCAGAGAAACAGTGAACACCAACAACACAACATTAGGGGGTTTTTTTTAATTATAATTAATATTTCAAGTCTAAGACTCTAAAAAATTATTTTAAATGTCCATGCCATATGAATTCTGAGGATTTTGGCAAGTGAACAGACAAATAAGAGGGGGGGGTTGGCAACAAGTGCAAGTGAATTGGTAGGTAAAGAGCCAAGCTGGTGCATGGATGAATATTCTAATGAATAAATGTCCACTGAACTGTGGAGAAATCACTAGAGTTCAGAGAAACAATGTATGTAGGAAACCAAAAGATGCAACCACTAATTTGAATTTTCTACTGAAGAACAAGAGACGAAGGCAAGTCATGGGAAACAAAAATAAGGAAAAGGTAGTGGCAAACTGCAGCCTAAAACTGTATACTAGCATGCTGAGAGTCAGGAGATAGAAGAGAAGGAGCAACTAAATCAGTCAAACTACAAGAAAGGACAAGGTGGACTAGAAATATCACAAACGACAGGATAGTTCATAAGAAAACTGATTTCACAAAAGGATTTTGCAAAATGCATCTGATACTTCATATCTGCCCTAATTTTCATGAGTACTGCCTCTGTCAACAGAATTACTCTAGGACACCTTCTCAGAACTGCAGCTCTCACTAAATATTTAATGTTGAATGTCGTAGACACATTCTACAATACTGGAAACTCAAGTGCCCTCTCATTCATTAGATGAGCAATTATGTTAAGCTGATGTTGGGGTAATTATTCTCACTCATGCCCAGGTGGTGAACCTGAAGTCTTATTTATTTTATTGACAGGAACCCCCCTTATTTTTTGACAGGAATATGAGTCAGGAATATTCCCTTACCTTTTGCAGATACTCAAAGAGTTTATCTTCGTTGGCAGTATGTTCCGATGATACTACTCCTGATCTATAAACCACAGTGTATAAAGCTTCTTCATACAGCATTTCTACCTAGAAAGTAAGTATGTACAATATTTATAAAAAAACAAACAAACTTCCATCACTGTGGGGAAAAATATTTGTATCTTTTTCAAATTAGGAGTAATTTGTAGTCCAGCAATAAGAAACCCTGAGCAGTTTTCCATGGAGTATATACTCTCCAAGGTGATTCAGCAGCTAAAGGGTTAAAAATGAAATGCTTTCCCCCATCTTTTGAGGAGCTTACTGTTACACTCCATCCATTGCAAGACCAAGTAGACTGCAGATCAGAGAGAGAAAAAAGCTCAAAGAGGTGAAATGATTGGACACTTTCCATCAAGGTTGTTGCCCAGGAAGATGGGAATGATATTTAACAGTTGTATATGATGAAACATGCTTGCAAGGTTGAAAGCAGTAAGGAATCAGGTAAATCTGGTGCAAAATGCTTCCCAAAGGGCCTCTCAGCTAGAACGTAAGGAGTGGCAAGCCCGGGTTCTCCAACAGACCCAGCACAGAGATTATTAACTCACAGACAGACAGCTCAGACCCCATGGGGCCCAAGTCTTCTGGTTTTTGGATTTGGTACAGGCCCCTTGATACAGACTAGTCATACGCTAACTCTAATCCTAAGAGATTGCAGAATAGGAGATAACCAGCTGTGCAGTAACATTACCATGATGAATCTGGGGGTTACAAACTCAAGTCAAATTAGCAAGAGATGCTGCTGCAAAGAAGAAAAAAACTCAAAAACACACAACAAAATGCAGTTTTGGACAGCATTAATGAAAGCACTGTATGCAAGACAGGATTTTATCTATGATTCTATGACTTCTGGTTACCCCTGAGCTGCAGTACCACCTCCCATTTCAGGTACAGTATTTTAAGAAGAACAGAGAAAATGGAGCAGATCCAGAGGCAAGCAACAAGGATGATAAAGTGGTTGAAAACAACCTGTAAGATTAAAGTTTAAAAGAACTTAGTATATTTTGCTCATAGAAAAGAAAAATACGGGGGAACCTGACAGCAGCTTTCAAATATTTTAAATGCTGCCAAAAAGGAGGAGAAAAGTCATCCTCCCTTATACCAGAGGGCAAGATAACAGGCCATGGGCTTAAACTACAAGAAAGGCATATTGAGACCAAGCCTCAGGACAAAATTCAAAATGTCAAAAACAGCTGGTAAATGAAACAAACTGTCCAGGTAAGTTGTTGAATCTCCTTCATTGGAAGTTTTAAAGAAAAAGTTGGATAGGAATCTCAAGTACAGTTCTGGAGCAATTAATCTCGAGTCTGTGAACGATGCTGAACAACATGACCCTAGCGAGCCTTTCCAATCTTAGGATTTTGTGTTTAAGGTTTAAATTCTTTAATTCTCTTTCCTTTGGTTGTGCATTCAATGAAATATTGGAGTGCTTTAATGGTGGTTCTTGCAATGAGAATAAGCCAACACTAATGAAAAACCCAAACCAACCACAACTATCTCACACTGTAATAGCAAACAATGATTTAAAATACTTTTATTAACTTTAAATTGGAGCTCAGACATCCCATTTCTCCTTATTACCAAATAAAGGCCAGCCCCTGCAAACACACTTGAATATATTCCTGCTGAAATCAGTGAGACTACTCATAACTAGTTATTCATATGCATCCATGTTAACTGGATCAGGCATTTCTACAGAACAGGTATCCCAGCAGAAAGAAACTGTACAATGGCAGCTCTCAGACACCAAAGTTTAAAAGCCTACTTAGACAACTCTCTAACAACAAATTTGTTAGAGACAGCAGTGAGCTACCAAGTGCAAAAAGTGAATATGTTAACCTTCAGTTGGGCAATACTAAATTCAATTTTTAAAGAGAGGCTGAGCAGTCACAAATTAAATCACAACACAAAACTAGGGACAATGGGAGTTCTTCCCTGCCCTCAAGGTAATGAACTTGAACAGTTTGAGATGATATTTTCCATTTTTGGCTTTGGAAGGGGTTTTTGTCTAATAAGTTAATTTTCATAACATACACTTTGGGGCCATGCATTAAGGATTTAAACTAAAACAAAAAACAGGCAGACCTAATGCCCTGTCACCAATACTCTACCCTTTTATGTATAAATAAAATTAAAAATCCCAAGGAAGTGACAAAAGGGGGGTCCATGTTTAAATGTTTCCACTCTCATTACCTCCTCCTTTGTTGGCTTCATCTCCTCCACAGCATGACTTTGTCTAACAGTCTCAGGAGGAGGTGGAGTGCTGCTGTTCAAAACACCCTACAGAAAACAGACATTTAACATAATATGTCACTTCCAGCAAATTATTTAACAAAAGAGGAGGCAGAAACAGCACAAGTGAAAAAGGCAAGCAATTTCCAAGTAAGCAAAAGAGGAAAGAGTCAGAGAAACATGGGGTCACGCTGACAATTCACAGGTAGGCAACTCCCTATATTCATTGCTCAGTAACAGCCACAGACGAGACAGAAGGAAGTTAATCATATGATAGGGACTTTCAAATGCCTCTGTCAAAGCCCCTTAGAGAGACTACTAAGGAAAGCCTAAGGTAAAAGGTAAAGTTCTGCCATAATTAGAAAGCTGGCTAAGAGAAAGAAAACACAACAAGACTCAATCAATATCAATAAGGCCACAAAGGACCTGTCTGCATGGGGAAGCTAGTGTGAAATAAACTTGTGTTATATTTAAGCAAAACTGTCATTTCTCGCTTACCTTCATGTGGACCGTATCATTCTGCCCTAAGAGTGCTTTTGCACAGTTTAGCTTTATTTAGAGAAAATATCTAAACCACCCAATGGCACTTGGTGCAGAATAAAAGCATCCGTATAGGGGCTAGGGAGGAATAGCTAAGGTGTTTAAATATAACACCCCATAGATCATTTCCTTCAGTTGCTTGTATTCAGGTTGCTCTCCTCATATTTCTAGTTGGCACTTGTAGCCATTTTATACGTCCAGTTGTGAACATACCCCTCAGGTTCTTCTATTTCAGGTGCTGATACATTTCCACTCTTCTTCATTCTCTTTTCTACCCCCATCACTTAACTCTGTTGCCTGCCCGTTGGATCAGTATGGATTGACCAGACCAAGGTATCCAGGGAATCCTCCATAATGATTCTCCAGTTTCTCAAGAGCATGACTCTTCTCCTCCATCTGCTCTACTTGTACTTCATTCAGATGACATCTCCTTTCTACCCAGGCAAAAAGCAGAAAACAGAACTATCCAGTGCAGGTCGCAACCACCAAAAAATCAGACTCCATCCTTTTTCTTGGAGCAAAACAGTATCTATATGGTGAAACCTTCAAAGTGTTTCCTACAAACTCGCAGAGAAATAATTTGCTCTTTACTGAAACATTTGACCAAAGGCTAGTGTTGGCAGTTAGAGCAGTCAAGCTGCCTGAATATGCTTAATTGTATATTGTTGTATGGACCTTGGGAAGAGGGTTTGTTTTTTTTTTAGCTAGTGCCATTTTTCCTAATGAATCACTCATATTTTCAGTAAGACAACAAGGCAGAACATACCTCAAATTGTCCAGAATGCAGCCTAGATTCTTTTTTCAGGACTCTTTTCAGTCTTTCAAAAAAATCTTCATCTTCTGTATCCTTCCTAAAAGAAAAAAAAAATCCTAATCTTTCTCCGTAACAAAATATACCTACTACTCCCCTAAATAACCTCATGACCAACTTGCCTTAGTCCTTTACTGTGACCATTCCCCATGTTGTGCCTCCCTTGTGTTTTTGACTTGCAATTTGTGGAAGGGATTCGCTCTGTATAGGTTTCTTTATGAACATTTTACAGGTGGTTATGTGAAAGCAGGCTTGCGGCTTATAAGCATAATATCCATCCTTCATTCAGGATAAATGCAAGAAGCAGTTAACCTCCTTTTGATATTAGACAACTGAAGCAATAGGAGCTACATCATAAATATATAAGTAGTATACTCATCATAAAAATCTTATCCAATATTCACAACATAGTAAGGATTTCTAAAAGGAAGTTACTTAGTTCACCCTGGAATCAAAGCTAGTCCCTCCTTACTTCCAAACTGCATTTCTTGCCACATGAAACCAACCTCATTCCCTTCAGCGGGAGTCTGAGAAATTTAACATTTTCAACAGCAACTGTAGCAAACATTGGCCTTAGCTCCCTTAGCACTTAGATGGTTAAATATCCCAAGTCCATTTGAAATGATCCAAGATTCAGATCTGCCATCTTCCCCATCTTGGGATTCCACACACTGTCATCATTAGACAGCCAAAAAGACATGAAAGCAAGAACTCACAAGCCTGCCCATCTTTTGAGATGCAACATTTTACTTAGCTGTGCATTTCCTGTTTTTCGGATTTCCCCTTGCCATCCCTGGCACCTAAACCACACAAACACATTCAAACAGTCAGCTAGCTAGAGGTCCAGAAGAATTCAAATCCCTCAAATGCCCCTCAAAACTCTATTACCAACATTAGAGAAAGATACTGCTGCTACCAGAGAAGCTATGACCTTCAGTTCAAAAGAGTGCAGCTCTCATATTTAAATATGAATACAAGGAAATGCTCCCATCCCTCAGAACAGTCACTTTGCAGCAGTGTGATGTCTTGTCGGTTCACAGCATGATGAACCCTAGTTTCCCTGACAACAGTGTTTCAGAGCAATTCTGAACTCAATTCAGCTCTGTATGGGGTGCCTACTGCTTTAGTCACCAGTAATCCAGAGAAATACAGATAAAGAAGAAGTTAAGAGGAAACTGCCCAGCTACAGGATTTAGAATAGTGGGTCACCCAAGAAGAGCATCAGGTCTGCTTGTACCAATGAAATTTATCACAAATAGAGGAAGGCATGCAAAAATGATTAACTATCATCCTTTCATTCTGGATTTACATCATCATTATGCAAGTCACAGGGGAAAGTACATCAGCAGACAGAAGACGCCAGGTTCCAAGTCAGGACATCTTGTGCTAAATCACAGCAGTCGCGCACTCCATCCTTCATGCCCAGTAAGTTTCACTAGCTGCTCAAAGCTGGGAGAGGAAAGATTCAACTGCCTTCCCCTCTTTCACGAGTCTCATTCGGAGAGAGGCATTTAAGAATGCAGAAACTATGCTCCATAATTCTGACTGGCCTTGCACACAAGCGAAAGAATGGATCCCTGCCTTTGTCACAATGCATACCCATACAGGCCAGTGAGACTCTGCTCCAAAATTACAAAAAGAACATGAGAAATAAGAACCACCAAAGGAAAACTTGAAAAAACAACATTTACATTACATGGCTCTTTCCATGAGTGACAAGTGAGAGTTAAATAAAGCTCTGAGGGTCTGCATGACCTCCTTCCTGTACAATAGGGTTTTTTTTAAATGTTTACAGCATGCACCTCATTTTAATAGAGCAGTGATTTTCAACCCTTTCTCAGTTGTGGCCCCCTAAAAAAATTATGGGGAGAAAACCTGTAATATTGTCTACGGGTTACTATTAAAGTTTGCTTGATACCACATCATATGAGTTGCTGTTTCAATACTTGGAGGGCTCTGGCAAAAAGAATCCTAGTAGTAACAGTGCTGTGCTAACATTTTTTGCACATGGGACAAAGTTAAAGTTGTTGCGAGAATCTTACATGAAAAATTACTGAACAATTTATTCACGTGAAATTTCAACCGTAATGTTACAACAACTGGTTTTCTGCCTTTTGGGTTCTTCAGCTCTTATACCTGGGATGTAACATGAGAAGAGGCTGGATGTGTCTTATATTTAATTGGCTAGAATTTCCATGAACTTTTGACTTTTTCCTTCACAACAAGTCGGTAAGGAATTTTAAAAATAAAGATATAATAATTAGTTATGCTATCTCTAAATTGCTTTCTCACTGTACTTCTGTAATAACTCAAGACAGTTTCATAGTTAGTAGAGTCGGAAGGGACCTGAGCAGATCATCAAGTCTGACCCCCTGCCATGGCAGGAAAGAGTACTGGGGTCAAACAACCCCAGCAAGGTGTTTGTCTAGCCTTGTCTTAAAGACCCCCAGGGCAGGAGCCAGCATCACTTTGCTTGGAAGTTGGTTCCAGATCCTAGCCGCTCTGACCGTGAAGTAGCGCCTCCTGATGTCTAGTCTGAATCTACCCTCTGCCAGCTCGTGACTGTTATTTCTAGTCATTCCTGGCAGTGCTTGGGGGAACAGGGACTCCCCCAGTGCCTGCTGGTCCTCTCTGACTCATTTGTAACAGGCCACTAGATCCCCCCTCAGCCTTCTCCTGTGGAGGCTGAATAGGTTCAGGTCCCGTAGCCTCTCCTCGTAGGGCCTGCCCTGCTGCCCCCTGATCATGCGAGTGGCCCTCCTCTGGACCCTCTCCATGTTGTCCACGTCCCTCCT